ACAAAAAGGAATAGACTGAAAATAGAATGAGATTGTGGGTTTCTTTATGGAATTAATGGGGCACGACGGTTACGTATGGAAAAGAAAGGAATGGAGGCCACTAAAATTGAAAGAGGAATTTGTGGAAAATGAATTAAAAAATAGGGGACATTTGCTGCCTATTTTTTCGTACAATAAATATGAAAAAACAATATCTGAAAAAATTAAGTATTTATCAACAATAAAAATAAATTTAGCAGCTATAAAATGTATTGTTATCAATTTATTTTTACACTATAAATTTATTATAGTACCCACAAAATATGGCACAAGATTAAAGTGTCTAAAAATTGCTAAAACTCATGAGGCAAATTTCTCTTATATATATATATATAAATTCAATCAAATTGATGTTAGTTTTGACGTTAATGTAAACTTGAGAAAAATAATAAGATTGAATATTTTGAAAAGGAGATATAATGCTTGGACTTCCATATTTATTGTAAGAATTACATTTATACAATGTTTTAATTAAGATGTGTTATTTGATTCAATTAAAAAAAACAAGATTGATAAACGTATAGTAGGGGTTTCTTATGACTAATATTAGTAAACCGCCATAATTTGACAATTTTTTAGTAGTGAAGGCTAAAGTGTAATTGTCGCTAGTAATTGTCTTTATTAAAATAATATATTTAGTAAAAATAAAGCTATTACCAATAATTAATTATCGGTAAAGATCGTAATATAAAAGTCAAGTGGACATTAATAGCGCAAGTATGTGTTGAAGCAACCATTTCTTGAATTAATGACAATAAAATAAGAGAGTTTAATTGATAAAAAAGAAGTGATAATCATCGGACATGAAACAACGTGTACTACTTGAAGTAAATGTTTCTTATCACGTCTTTCAATATCAAATAGAATGGAATTCATCAGAAATGAATCACCGGTTACTGACATATATCCAAAGTTCACAACATGGCTAAACAAAGTATTCGCCAGTTTTTCCAATGGTAATTCATAATCTTTCCTCGTCATTAAATGAAGCTGCTCGAGGATAAAAAATGGAAGTTGGTTTTTTAGTAACAACAAGTCTCGGAGTATATGATTATATTTGTAATCAATAAAATTGATAATTTTTTCTTCTCCTTCTGGATATATTTCAGAACACTCTCGAATAAACTCAACCACAAAACAACCATCAAGCTAAGCATTAACATTTTTGCAAAATTCATGACTATCATCAGCATCAAGGTCTTTTATATCGTCATAACACATTAGTGCTTTCTACTTCAGAAACTCCAAACAACTGATGCAACTTTGCACATCAAGTCCCTCTTCTCGTTTCAGAAACCGTTGTAGGTACAACAGTTTGTACTTTTCCATTGGACTAAGTTGAGGATTTTCCTTATGGTAAGGACCAATAGAGACCATCTTTGGTGTATAAGAATCTGGATTTGATTCACGTAGCCGCATATTTACTTTAAATATGGTACTCAATTTAAAAGATGATTTGGCCAAATTCTCAAACATTTTATCAAAGATTTGATTTATACATTCGGATGCTTACAATTGCAAATCATGTTCGGGATAAGTCGACAACTAAAAATTCGAGAAAAGGCTCAAATATATCATCGAACTTTGAAAAAAGGCTCATCTATGCGATGCATCAGTTAAAAGTTTGGCTTATCTATGCCATTTCCATTTCAGAAAAGGCTCACTCATACCATTATTTTTTATTAACTGAAAACAATTTCGATTTTACAAAATCATTTTTACACGTGGTCAATTATGATTCGGCCACACCATTAATTAAATCATTTTTTAAAGAGAAAAACTCAAATATATCATCGAACTATGAGAAATGGGAAAAAGTTTATCTATGTCATTCGGTAAATGTTTGGTTCATCTATACTATTTTAGTTAACAAATAATGGCATGGATGAACCTTTCTAAAACAAAAAAATGACATAGAAAACAAACATATCATATTTGTTGATTTAAAGGGTATAAATGATGAAGTTCAAAAATGAAAAGGCTAAATATAGTCAACTTGTTTGTTGGAAATCATCAAGTTAACAGGAAGATATGAACTCCGGTAAGAGGATATAATTTGGAAGAATTAATCAATGTGTTATTATCGCGAAAATATCATGGATTAACTAGCATACAATCACAAATAAAGAAAATAGAGAAGAAAAAAAATACAAGAATTTAATGAGGTTTGGCTAGGCCTAATCATTCAAGCAAAACCAGAGAGAGTTTTCTTCTATGAAAGAAAAGAAGAAAGTGTACAATACTTTCAAGCTCTTAAGACTATATTGTAAATCCTGCACAATACTTTAGAATCTCCAACTGCATCCCATTCCTATATATAGAACCCAAGCAGTCCCAAACCTATAAGGAAAAAGTTTCCCCTATCCTGAAAGGACAATATGTTTGTCACTCCCCGAGCCTATACCCTGGGCAGGACCGGCACTTGAGAACTACTGTTGGCCCCAAGCGAACCCTTGATCTGGCTACTTACTCAGCTGAAGACTTAACTCATGAAAAAAATACTTTTAAAAGTAAACTGAACTGCTCAATAAACACTTAGAATGTATCAAGATAACATTCACTGGCCAAAAATGGCAACTCAAATCTCAACTGTTAAAATAGGAAATAGAAACTCAAGAACAAACATTTGACTGTCTATGAAGTCTCTAAACAACTGAGATGGATATCGGGACAAGACCCACGACATCCTAATGAACTAATAATAATAGTGAAGCAATAAAAAGGGATCCTTCGGAAAGCAATGAGGCTCACCACAAGACTCTGGGTGCTCAACTGGATCAACGATGCGCTGGATGCTGATCATGGTTACATGTGTCTGTATAATAAGAAGATGCAGGACAAATGGCATTAGTACATTGAATGTACGAGTATGCGAGAGGAATTCTAAAACAAGACATAAGCTTGAAAGGAACTGAAGAACTTACCTGGCTCAACTCAACTCAACTTAACTGAACTCATTTCAATATAAAGCAGTATAAAACAAACGTAATATAAAGAAAAATTGTTTAAAACATGTATGCCAACTCTGTGTATTTGGAAATACAATAATACTCTGTGTGTATGCAAAGATACACTATAACTCTGAAATGTATGTAAGAATACAACTAAACTATGTTTATAAGAATATAATTACCTCTGTGGGATTTTCTCTAACCGACAACCATCACGTAAGAGCTACTGTGATGATACAACGTTTTGCCTCACGTTGCCAAAGCCGTCCTATACCTTGCCGAGGGTATAGAACCTGAACTACTAAGTGGATCCACTAGTCTATGCTAAAAAGCACTAATGAATCATCTAAAAAGTATGACCCTTTTCTACCCATGGTGGCTATATGGTTTATGAGGGCTGTGAGTTGTCTGAACTCTCCCCCATATCGGTGCTCAATACTACTCCCAAAATATGATACTACCTCTTATGTTTAAAAACATACTTCTTTACGTGATTTGAGATAATTTCTCAAAAACTTAGCTCAAAGGCTATCTTGGAAATCAAAGTTTCCTCTATTGCTTAATTGTGAAAGCACTATTTTCTGAAAACTAGCTCAAAAGCTCTTTGGAAATCAAGGTTTCCTTTTCTTGTTTTAAATGTGAAAACATTTTAACTCTTTAGGAATACATAGTCTCATATACTTTGAAGAAATGAACTTCAACTTTACTCTTTACTCAACTCAAAACTCAAGTTTTAAAACAAAGTTAAATAATTTGTAAAAGACTTTTGGAAGACTCTATGAACTCCTCTTGACTTGACTCTTAACTGATCCTTGAATTGAATTATGAATTCAAGGATTGAGATTTGTGATGGAAAAGATCTCATGATGTTTAGGAGTGTTTTTAGATAGTTAAACACGAGAAAAGATCAAGAAATCACTGTCTGGAAGCAAGTCCGCGACGCAGAGAGTATTTAAATATTTGGTCATGAAATAATTTTGAGGCAGAACGATCAGTGACCGCTCCGCTCCGCGAGGAAAACTTTTTCCCATTCTGAGGAATAGGTCCGCGACACAGACCTGGTACCCAGATTCTGCTGACTTTTTCCTTCTTCATTTTTTGACCACAATTCGCCTAAACTCGATTCTTCTTCTCAAATTCCCTTTAGATAATTCAGATATCCAGCATATGTACACAATAATCTAATCAAACACAACTCTAAAATTGACCTTAAACTCTCAAGAACTCCTCAATCTCATCCCACATTCAAGAACGAAAGTAAATTCAAGAACACGCATCAAGAACATTCAAACTTTCAACTTTTAGGACGAATTCATGCTGAATTATACATGTTTTGCGTGTGGGTGAACGAACCCAACGATGTGTGAACTCACAAGCGATTCTTGAAGAACTTGACGATTCTTGCTCCTTCTCCTCCTTTCTCTTCTCTAAAACCCTAACTCAATATGGTAAAAGCGTAAACTGAATCCTATCAGTTTAGACCCCAATTAATTACCAAAAAATGAAATTAAGTCATGGGGTATGGAAAAGACCATAATGCCCTTCAAAAACCCGGATTAAACTTTCCTTAATTGAACAACCCAATTTCCAATGGGCGTATCTTACTCATACGAACTCAAAATCGAACAAACGCAACGGCGTTGGAAAGATAATTCCAAGATCTTTCCTACGGTATCTGGAAGTACACCTAACTCATCCTGAGCTATGAGTTATGATTGTTTAAAGTTGACCAAAAACCCAAACTTAACATAACAAATTTCCAGATTTTTAGTCTTTCCAAAAATGACTATTTCCAAATTTTAACTTCTTTCTAGTTCCTTCAATTAGCGAGATGCTACAATATTCCTTTCCCAGATCTACTAGGACAAAAAATCTCAAGTCTGATGATAACAAGAAGTTCACTCAAATCATTGAAGACAAAATATAAAGCTTGGGACAGGGAGGCAAACCAAGTAGCAGATGGTTTAGCCAAGATTGTCTCAACATTACAATTGAGACGGTTACTCCTACTTACTTAACGGAACCTGTGAAAGCTAGAATAGTCTGTATAGTTGTGAGTATGAGGAGTATGATGGCTGCCACAATTGAAGCTCCTACCCAAGGACTACTAAAATAATTGTGCTTCAAATTTGCCTTCATTGTATTCCATGGTTTTTCACTATATTCAATTGCTTGTTTGAATTCCTCATTGTAATAGAAGTCAGGATACAGCGTGACCGCATTTCCGATTTTGTTGAAGAGGCTAGCCACGTCTTTGTCGTCTCCCATCAAGTTCACTATGATTCCTTCCTGGCGAAGCAAATTCACATCTTTTTCTGAGTCGATAAGATTATCCATGAAAACAGCATAATGACTGAAATATTTAGATAATTGTACATCAGATGATTGTTTTTCATAAGCAATGACATTTCGCAAGAGGGTTTCCGTATCACGTTCGATTGTTAAACAAGGAATTGTCATCAATCCACTACTCTCAAACTTTATATCCAATAAACTTGTTATATCACTACCCTTTGCAAAGCTAACTCCAGTTTCGGAAAGCTCTGTTGCATTTGGCATAACCTCACGAGTGCAATACATTTTGATTTTTTCCCTGGGATTAATCTCATTACATGAAAATATGTGTAGTAGATGAAGTAAAGTAAATGCTTTATATTTCCAATATTATTACATTCCGTCTCGCTAAACGATGACAGGTCCTTTTTAGCATGCCACCGAAATTTTTATACAAAATTATTCACCAGTATTACCAGTGATGATTCGTTAACTTGCTTTGTCATGGAATGAAGCTTGTTGACGACAAAGAAAGGAAGTTGGTTTTCTAGTAACATTAAGTCTCGAAATATGTAACTTGCACGATTATTAATGATAATCCTGGCTTCTCCTTTTGGAACCATTTCACAATGTTCTCGAATAAACTCAACTACAAAACAACCGTCAAGCAACAACATTGAGAGAAAATCATCATAAGTCCCGTGCAGCTGTACGTTTTATATCTTCGTAACACTTTAGTGCTTCCTCCTTTAGTTTATGCAATTCACTGATGCAATTATTCAAATCAAGCCCCTCCTTCCGTCCAAGAAATCATCGTAGGTATAATAGTTTTTGCTCTTCCATTGGACCATGTCGATCATTTGTCTTATGGTAAGGACAAATAGAGACCATCTTTGGTGTATATGCATCTGGATTTGATTCACGTAGCCACATATTTACTTTGTATATCATAGACGATTCAGTAGATGAATTGCCTAAATACTTAAACATATCATCAATTATGTCGTTTGTCTCCTTTATCTCCAACAAATGACGCTCTTTCCTCCTTTCTATCTGTAATGTAAAAGAGTAAGAAATTTAAAATGTTTATTACATATTCTTTTAATACTATCAACTTTGTGTTCTAGATTGGATAGATCTATACTTAAAAAAAAAAATGATATATAGTTGAGAGAGACCTCAAATTAAATTAAAAACCCAAAAGGTATAAAATCATGGTTAGAAAATAATAGTCTCAAACATTCTATATTTAATTGCCAAGGGCAAATGAAATAAAACTAAATTTATATAGTTGAGAGAGACCTCATTTATTTCAGTTTCAATGAAGTGTATCATCCCTCTTTCTTGAACGGTACGTAATTCCTACAAAAGACACATTTTTTTAATTTCAATTCATAGGAGAGGCAGAGTTATACGCCTGCTAGTAGCGTTATGGGTTGAGAAACTAACAACACAAATAAAAAAAGAACACACAAAATAGTAACCAACAGAAATTGTAGTTAAGTAGTGGTAATTACTCCTTCCCAATTGATTTAAATCCTAAAACTGCCTTACTTTCCAAAATGAGATTTTCTATCGTTAATCTGAATTAATTAAACTCTAAAATAAAGTAAGTATCAAATTAAACACAGAATCATGAGAATAATAAAATAACGATAACTAAGAATCTCTTAAACAAAATGCAGATTATCCATTTGAGTCATGTCCTTCAACTTGAGGTGTAATAATAAATTGATAGTGTTTTAGAAAAGAACGAGAAAATGCAGAAAATTACCTCTTTGGTTTGGCTGTTTCTTCTTTTGTGTTTAAATAACTCATAAATGGCGTTTACCAATAATCACTTATTCATATTATGATTATTAAAGTCCACTTTTTTTTTTTTGTGTATACATATCTTTGAACGTATGAAATTAAAAAAAAATTAAATTTAAAATATTTCTAAAAAATATTTTAAAAAATTTTAAAAAATTGACGGGTGTGGCGGGGGAAGGGGTTGGCCTGGGTGGGGGGTAGCAGCAGCTTCTCTATATTATAGCCACCATTATTACTTTTTTCTAACTTTGTAAAGGTAATAACCCATCAAGGCACAATAATTATTTTCAATACGCAGTGATAATTTGATATCACAATTACTAATCAACACAAATTGATTTCAAGCAAATAGATGGTAAAAGACAGTATATCCATGTATACGATCAAACACACATACAAATATACATCATGCTATCTAGTTATTAGAGGTAAGCGTGGCTCTTGATGCCAATTGTTGGAAAACATATATGCACAACGAAAGCATACTAGAATCTTACTGCTTACATGAATAATAGATAATTAATACCGTTTATGCTAGAACACATAATCATGCTAGAACACATAAACATACTGAAATTATTCGATAAATACGTCTCTTGAAGCATGAACAAATACCTTCAAGCGAATCCCCAAGTTAGACAGTCCTTCAAGTGAATCAACAAGATAGCCATGGTCTTCTACAGTGATCCCAAGTTCACATCTGAACTCTCTCAATACTTGGGTGGGCAAGTATCGAATAGAAAACTAATCAATCTAGGGCAAGAAGAATCCTTAATTATAGAGATTTCTTCACAGTCCAAAGAGGAGAACCAAACAAACGTTATTTTTCTTCAACCGAAAAATACACGCTAGTTTTCTTTTTATAAGAAAACTAACGCCTCTCCCCTTTTCCCTTTAGAATTAGGATTCTGAGTTCTAGTTAAATATGGGCACTGGAGGAACCACATAATTAATTACTGAGGCTTCCTATTATGGAAATAATTCCAAATAATTAATTTGAATTATTCTTACCATAATAAATTACAAATCATTCCACTAGAAATTCGCAATTGCACTCCTCTATTTATATTTTGTAATTCCCCATTAAACACTTATGTAATTCCCCATGTTAAGATTTCAGATACTAATCAATAAATTAAATTACTGACGAATTTAACTTAATGATTAATTTCCTTTAGAGCACTACTTAACCTATTTCATGTGTCGGATTCATAAATCCACTTGCGAGGTTTGACACGATGAAAACTTATAAGTTTCTCAAAAAGGCATATCAATCAATCTCTATAACGAGACATGAATTTCATCAACTAACTTATTATTTCACCAATATATATTATTATCATCCAACTTACCAGGCATATTGACCCATCTCAGAATCTCACATTTTAATAAATCAAAACAATAATTAATATATACAGATCATAATAGTTATATCAGGATTAAGAATATAAGTACATTTAATAGTTTAGAGAATATGTTTTGTCAGTCAGTCTAAAACAACTATCTCTACTCGGTCCCGTTCAATACATACAAAATGCACTAGCACAAGAAGTTGGAACTATACCGTTCCCATAATCAAGATAAATTACCTATAATCTTGTGCTACAATCGTACCGATGGCATGTCCAATTTCCATCCTAGATTGTGAACAAAAAACTTTATACTTATAAGAACCGATGATTTAATCCTCTGTGTATAAGCTAAAACTCTACACACTAAATCATCTACTATATAAGTAAATAGACACCATAAACGAATATATGATCTATTAAAATTGAGCAAATATTTATTCTATAATAAATATTATTTCTTAACACATGGTTAATAGTATATATCCCAACAGATAGTATCTAGATACGTGTAGGGTAGGGGTTCGGTCAATTTTAGATTTGATCGCTTATTTTATAAAATTTATATCATATCAATTTTTGATTATTTTATTATACTTCATAATTTGTGGTTTAGTTAATTTTTAATATTTTTTTGTTAAAACGTTATGATAGGAAGATGTGTAGGACACAAATTAGGATAGAATATTAGTAGGTATAAGAGTGCGGCCATACTAGTAAGTAGGACTGCATTTTCTTGTTACCCTTACTCGTAGTCACAGGACTGTACAGTCTTGTAGTTTCTTAATTATTCTTCGATTTTTGTTGCTATCTATGATTTCGTGTAGTTCAATTATAATATTATTTTATTGTAGTAGTGTTCTGCTAGTATAAAAAATATATCAAAAATAGTCTCTTTATCTCAACTCTTAGGTAGAGGTAAGGTTTGTGTACACTCCCAGACCCCACTTTGTAGGACTACACTGGATATGTTGAGTTGTTATGTAAGTCACAAGTAGAAGTTACAACACAATACTAAGTATAGTTCGTAGAATTTTAATTTGATAAAAACTCTCTAGACGCTTTTACAAATTAAAAAAGTGATGAATCAAGAAACTTGAAAGATGACAATAATAAAGTTCTATCCCACTATTTTACATACCGTGATATAAAAATATGGAGTTAAACAAAGATAAACAAATTGAAACGAAGGGGCTCAAGAACTGGGTCTACTAAAATACATCAAATAAGAGAAATTTAAATCATATATATCTTACAACTTACTACTCAAATAAATAAAATACCTTATAATCAATATAAGTAGCATATTAGTATTAGGTTTAGGAGATGGAACCTTTAGGTACAATTGAGACAATTACTACTTACTTAACCACATTTATCTAGAATGTTGGTTATTGATTACCTACATTATATTAATACCGTTAAATATAATATAGTAACAATTATAATATTCTCGTAAAATTATTTATTTGTTGTAGTGTATTGGATAGGATATTGTATAAGACATTTAAAAATTACCTGATTCAAAATGGACTAGTTGGAGTGTACTTGAGTTTCTTTTTAAATTATTTTGTTGTACTTAACTTTTATGAAGGTGGAGGAATATGTGAGATGGTGAATATTAAATTCTATATGGGTATGCTATATATAGATTAACTGCATACCTGCCTATATTACTAACATGAAATAGTGCGCATTTTGAGAAAAGTATCTTAGAATAAATAAAGTTTTAGTATCATAGAATAAAGTTTATATAGACATTACATTTAAGAAAACATATCAGAGAATAACACTTTGAGTGTGTGTTCAAGCCACTATTTATTCTAAAATTTGATATCAAGTATAATTGAAGAACAACACTTTTAGGGTGTGTTCAGTATAATGGAAGATTTGCTATTTAAGTACATACGCACTACAAGAATTGTGATTTATTGTGGCGACCTTTAGTGGCAACTCCCATAGTTGCCAGAAAAGCACGAGCATTTGCAGCGACTTGGAAAAGTTGCCGCAAAAGGTTATGGTATTACGTGCAAGTATTTTACGGTTAAGAAGCAACTGTCTCTTGTACATATCGTGTATTAATCTACTATAACTATAGGATACTCCCCTTTCGCGAATTACTACGTTTATCCTAGTGATCCACAAACGACGAAAATCTGTCTTTTTCCTATCCCTATCCCGATGAGCTGAAACTAAAGCTCTTATTTTCTGTTGAGTAATAGTTCTAGTAAGCCTTGAATGAGCCCCTCGAAAGCTTGATGCAAATAAACGAATTTTTGTTCTATGTCTCCGAGCTATATATCCCCGTTTAATTCTGGTCATTGAATAAATGAAACTTTGACGAATAACTAATTGATTGCCTTTCTTTCAGTTATTCTTTTCCCCCTTCCTAGTCTATTAATAACAAAACGAATTTTTTCAATGTATAAAATCAAAATTCCAATGGCTTTGGCTACTCTAACCTTCCCGACCACGATTTTTTTTTTTAGGTATTTCACTCCGAAATAAGACAGAAC